AACACCTCGATCAAGTAACTCTACTCACTGCTTGACGCCAGATGTGTCGTCCGCCGAGGATCGGTTGTAGACAGTTCCGATGAGTGAATAGAACACCTTTGGGGACACCTGAATGGGGAAGAGGAAACGATTTGGTGAATTATACCATGATCGGGAAAACAACTCGTGAATCGGGTAGCTGATACTAGTGAAAAATCAGTAGTACTTTGCACTCACCTGAACTGCCGCTAGTATAACCGATCAGGCATAAATCATCCGGATTTGCTTTCTGTTGGGAGAGAGAGAGAATGATGCGGTAGGCAGAACGAGTTGGAAACAAAGAATACGAAATGTACGTCGAAAAAACCAGAAAACAAATAAACATAAACTTCTACCCAGCTCTGTGAAATATCGATAGGAGAACAATGAGCCTCGATAAACTGCAGTGTTCTTTTATCAAGAACTCCCTAAAAGAGTCCTTTTCGCACGTTGGGTGATCAGGTGATAAGCAAACGACCTCTGCAGAAGATACATGTGAAAGAATTTGGCAAAGTGGCGAACCAAACCAAGCCGGTGATTATCATCCGGAGCACGATGATTACCAACCAAACCAAGGTCTTCGTTGGAACCGATGGAGATAAACGGTTGCGAATAACTTACATACTGACAGGGAAAATAGGAATCTGGGCTCATGGATTAGAACAGTGAATAACACTAGGCCTCAATATCAAAGGTATCGCGTGGAGCCTGAAGCAAACTGAGCACACAGATTGGCAATGACTGATGCCCATACTAATGAAGTCTTGACTGTTCAAAACATAGGAATCATACATGCACAGTGCTGAAGCTGAAATAAATGCTGTTCAAAACCAACCTTCTCTCTATGAGATGGCAAAATCTACTCGAATTGCGGGTACTAGCAAGCCCAGTTATGAGTAGTTGGTGAACAAAAAGTGTGATACCACTAAATGACTCACCTCCACTGGTCTCATGTGTGCGTGGCCAATAGTCTGCATTGACATCAAAAGAACATGGAGATAAAAGAGAAGAGCGCGATGAGATTTCAAGCTAAACGATAGAGCTGTAACGCATTGTCACGGACAAAGAGTTTTGTATTCATTTTACTTGGACTTCATATGCTATGAAACAGGAAAAACCACTGCTCGAACGAAGGGTAGAAAAAGATTTATTCACTTGGGCCGTTTCAGTGCACCACTCTGAATCACAGCGGATGTGAAGATAGTTTGAGCTTCAAAAAGGATGTCTGTTTTCAACATCGCCTAATGCTTTAGCAAGATAAACTCGTACATATACCAAGAACCTGATAGGATCGGTCGTGTAGTCAAATGAGTTTACATTTTTTGTAGATCGGGTGCCGGGACTGCACCTCTACGTTGCAGCTGTTACACAGATCTATTGAAAATTTTCCCGTTAACCCCATCCCCAGGCATCAGGAGTTTACATTGACCTTCGATTCCTTCCCATACGCAACACTAGGACTATGCGGGAAGTGTGGCGATATTTGGTCAGGCATCTTAGAGAAACTACCGGTCTACTGGAACAAATTATTCGACAGGTTACACAGAAAAAAAAAACTAAACCTGAAGAAAAAAACATAAAAACAATTCATTGCTGACATCTCAACCGCGGTGTTCAATCACAAGTTTCCAATATATAAACAAATAACCTACGAAACGCACAATTCCGCAGGACCATTAAGACGCAAATGCGCACCGTTGATTTCGTCCAACTAGGGTGAAATATGCGTATCTGAGTTCACACTGACTAGGTACACGAAACTCATTTTATTACTACTAGGATGATGATGATCATGACCTTATCAGGTGATTAAGTGGGTGGGTAACTCAATTTTTGCGAAGCAGTACAACAATGTGACTAAATCGTCACATCTCGCTACAAGCATCGTAATTACCACTCGAAGACTGATACAGTGATTTGACAACGAATCGAACAGAACCAGAATAACTGACTAGAAGGATCGACTATGAGGACGAGGGTATGAGGGTAGACACTTGAATACACACGCAGACAAGTAACTTAAAGAAAATAGGAATTATAGTTGATAGGAGTAAATGAGATAAGTCCCGAAGAATTTAGTTACCATGAATTCATCCAAATCAAGAATTTGGCACGTTTTGCCCTTTTGCTCTGCACGCAACTCCTCCAACTGATCGTCTTTCGTCAAGACCAAACAATGTTTGCAGTCTGAATCGGTCATTTGTAGGATTGAGCGAGCCAACTGAGCCGTTTGACACACGATAAACTTGGGTTTCGCTAAAATTCGAAATGTGACAGTAGAAGACAATGAGCAACTCGGGATGTGTTGGAACAGAGCACTTTCGTAAGCAGTGAGCATGGCTGGACGTTCATCACAAAACACATAGCATATGTATTTTGACAAGGGTCTCCAAAAAACTCTGTGAAGTGCAACCGTTAATTTCGAGGCGCAGAGGTGATGCCTCAAACAGCAAAAATCTTAATTTCAATTTTACATATGTGAACCCTGCTCTAGAGGAAAAAGACAGATTACTTCTCTTGTATGCACTAACTACAATATAGAACTGTGAAATATTCTTCGGTCAGATACAGGAGGGTCCCGGTATAGAAGGCGGAACACTACAAAGAACGACTGCATTCTGTATATGCATTATATATATTACACCGGCTTGAGAACAAGCATGGGGCCAATGCACAACAATGATATTGAAGTCATGGAGGGGTACAGAAAGATTAGATGAAAATGGGGAAAACACAGAACACGGAGAACGAATGTATAAATGAAGGAATACTTTTGTAGTATCACCGTACACTTTTTTGAAGATCTTTTTGTTATGGGGACCAGGGTTTCGCCAAACAAACCGCACAACAATCACGTCACTGACATTTTTTCTGAGCCACATCTTCCAATGTCTCTAGCCATCGGCAATCCTCATCCCTTGGGCCCCAGCTTGGAAGGCGGGCTGCACCAACCAAAGCCAATGCTGAGGCTAACTTCTTCATACCTCTACGCCACGTCATGGTTTGACCGCCGTGAAGCTTCTTCCAACTGTACCCTGCACGTGCAAAAAGAGCACGGCGAGGTAGTCGATGGGTAGGCATACGCAAATATATGACCGAACCATTAGAGGCGGTGTAGAACGATTTCTTCCGCGAGAGAACGACTATCACTACCCCGCACACAACGATGAATTTGGTCATTGCTCACCCGATGTTTCCACCAGACACGAGCAATGCTTCTAAGGCATCGGTGATCGAATACGGAAAGCCGATTAACATCCTCCGCTTGAAGGCCAGATTTCGCAACTGTAAAGTAGAACAGTACGGACCGCGGCGATGTACACCCTTCCCTTAAGGTACAGTCGGATATCATAGAGGCGCCGCAAGTGTCGCAGGTTGGCGAAAGCTGCTCTAGCTTTCGCTATTCGTGATGTGATCTCTTCCCAAACCCCACCTCCAGCTGTGATTAAACTCCCGAGGTACTTGAAGCACTCGAACATATCCAGCTGATCACCATAAAGAATGAGTGCAAGCACAGGCTCCTGCCAGTCTTGAACCAGCACTTTGCACTTTGATGGTGCAAAGCACATACCATATCTGGATACCTCTATTGCCAAGTGGTGTAAAGCTTGTTGGACTGCCTGTGCATTG